GTCGTGTACTGAGGACGCCCCGAGGAGGTGCCTCGGCGTCCTGATCACACCAACCCGGGACGGAGAGTTGGTGTCTCTGAGGTAGACCCATGGGGCCTCCAGGCAGGATGGGGACTCTGCCCACGGCTCACTGCTCCTCACGTGGACCCCCAGGGCAGGATGCCACTTTCTTCTGAAATCCCAAATCCGAGGCATGGCCTTCCCTGGGCACTCCATGCTGCCAGGGAGCGAGGGCCCCACCCAGGCCCATCCTGAGCCTGCACCCGGGGCGGTCTCACAGCGCCGGCTCTCTGCCACCCACACCAGTTCCTCACCCACAACCTGCCGTGGCCAGGCTGGCACCGAGAGCCCAAGACCCTCCAGGCTGGAGCGGCCCAGGGATCGGCTAACTGCAAGGGCCACGCTCAGGACCGCAACTTCTGGGCTTTTTGTCCCAAGGTCGAGGACACACCACCTGGTCCGACCCGGCTCTCCGAGAATGCGGCAGCGCTCCCTGGGGGCCGATGGTCCAACCCCACGGCTGGCAGAGCACCTGTCCAGACACCCGGAGGGCTCCTGAGGCTCTCACCCACGTGTGCCCGCACCAACACCGGGGCCTGCACGTGTCGGCCACACATCTGCCCGCGGAGCCTTCTGGAGCCTCTGTGCCCCTCAGGCAGAGCCCTGTCCTCCGGGTACCGGCCTAGGCAGAAGCTGGGCTGGAGCTCACAGCCGGCCCGAGGGCCCGCCAGTGCCTGGGCTGAGAGCTGGCAGGCCCGAGTCTCGCCGGGAGCCCCCTGTGACGGCGTGAGGGTGGGCAGGCCTGGCACACCCACTGGCGCCTAGTCCCAGATGCTGGGAGGGTTTTTACACCTGGATTCTCCGTGGACTTACGTTGGCTCCCCTAGCTGACCGACTCGGCAGGTTTGCGTGCATGAGGGTTGGGGGAGGGTGGGGACAGCTGCAGGACGCAAGGGGTGGTGCAGGGGGGACAGGCTGTAGGTGGGTCGGGCCAGCCCTGAAGGTCTGCGGGCAGGACGCCCCAGGAGGGTGCGTGCAGGCTGTTGAATGCCCGGGCTATGAGCAAATGTGTCCCCCAGCTTCTCCTGTGGCATCCGTGAATGTACCCAGGACAGGAGGCCCCGTAGCCTGTGCCTCCCACCAGTCACTAATGCCTGGTCTGTGGGTAGCTGTGTCCATGCCATGCTGTGGGAGGGGACCGTGCAGGGGTGGCCACGCTAGCGAGGCGGCAGGGTGGGAGGAGGGCCGTGGAGCCTCCATCCAGTGCACGCTCACGGTGGCACTGTTGCCCCGGCCTACCTGCTGGAACTCCTCCCAGGAGTTGGTCCAGGTCCAGAGGTGAGCCTTGTACGAGCCGACGGTGACAGCCATCAGTGTGTTGCCACGGTAGTAGAATATCGGCCTGTGAGGGAGGGTCAGCGGTGGCTGGGGAACACGGGCCCACATGGCCCCTGGCTGCTGGCGGCACCCTCCTCTCGCGAGTTGTTGGCTGCCCTCACAGAGCCCCACCCTTGCCCTGGTCCTCGGCGAGGCTGGGAGATAGAATTCATGAAGCAGGCAGCAGTGGCCAGGGCCCTCTGCCGGGCACAATGCGGCCTGGCCGGCAGC